CACCAGGGCCCTTCTTGGGGCACAGGTAGTTACGATGCTGCCTTAGCGTTTGCGCCACTTCTCGCCTCAACCTGCTCCTTTTCTTTTGCAGTCAGGGAAGGACAAGGATGCCATTGATAAAGTCTTCAAGAACCTGGATGACAACGGTGATGCCCAAGTGGACTTTAAAGAATTTGTCATCTTTGTGGCATGGCAGCTCTGACTTCCTGCTGCCACAAATATTTTGAGCAGAAAGCAGCCAAATAATTGTCAAACTGCTCGCAAGGAGCTGTCTTTGCCTGTGCCGCGTATGCTAGTGGTATGGATCCCTTCACTTCTTCCATGTACCGCCATGCAGTTTACAAGCATGCTGGGCTGTAAAAATAAATCCTGCTGTGCTTACTTCCCTGTCTTGAATGTTAATTTCTGCTCCTTTGTGGAAGAGCCTGGGTTTAATGGCTCCCACTAGCTCTCACTGAGTATTTTCTCTCTTTCTCTGCTTTTTAAAATTCTGTTCTTAGCCAAAAGGCTCAATATTCATCCCAGCGCAGAGGCCGCCCAAGGGTAAATGCTGCTGAAGCCATGAGTCAGCTGGAGGCTGCTTTTCCACAGCCGCCTCTCTGGGATGCAGCTTGCCGAGCTTCAGCTTGCAGCCTGCGTCTGATTCACGCGTGTGCCACCACGGCTGCATGGGACGGGTCTCGCTGGAGCTGCCTTTGAGCCTGTTTGGACCTCCCAGCTCTGTGGTTGTTGCGGGGCAGCCATATAGGCTCCCTCCTGGTAAAAAAAAAAAAAAAAACAACACAAAAAAACCAAACCCAAAACCAACCAACCAAACCCCAACCCCCCTCCCCAAAACCAACTTTTTTTTTAGCATGGAGGAATCTGTACAATTTTATGTGCTGGAGAACCATCTCACCCAGCTTATATGGATTTACTTCCTACAACATGATAAGGCTTTTATAATACTACTATACCGTTGGCAATGTAGGTAGGGTTGCACACTATAACCATTTTATTTCAAATAAATTTACATACCTCCCAAATAGCATGCCATAATATTTTTGTGTGAAGCAAGACAATGACAGCAGTTCTCGCTTCTTTACCTGAAAAAAGATCTGTGCGGAGAAGTGGAAGAGTTTGCTTTCAGTGGAGCAGGCAACAGACATCAGCTGTGACTCTGCAGCTGGAGCAAGACTGACCCAAGCGGTATTTTGGAGCACTTTGCAGGTGAGCATTCCAGTGCAAACTGCAAAAAAATCAGGTTTAGTTCCTTTATCTTCAGGACGGTCCTGTTCGGTGCTATTCCCATCTTATGCCACGAGTCTAGTCATTCCCTATCCTACTGTGCAAACGTGCAGTGCAGGTAAAGGCGCTGCAACTCCCTGTGCAGCTGCACAATGTTTCTGTGCAGCGTTCCAGCTCCGGCAGGAGATCACGCTGCCCAGCAAACGTAGGAACAAGAGCTCTGTAGCTGCACAGCACTGCTTTAACTGCAGAAACAGTTTCCTCTTCCCGTTGAAGCCTGGTACAATTTGCTAACTGGTCAAGTCGCATACCTGGAGCTGGACCAAGACCTTAGTTTCGCTGTGTTTCCCGAGTCTGAAGTTAAGCCACAGGTTTGACCCATTCATAACCATGTAAAAGCATACATATGTTTAATTGTATACGTCTTTATCGAGATGAATTTTCATCTTTTGGGGACTATTTGATTATTTCAGCCTGTTTTAAATCTTACAGCTGTCCTTTCATCTAGCTGCATACTGTTCCTCGGTTTGGCTGTACTGACCAAACGGACTAAACACCACTTAAAACTTTATTCCTAATTCCAAGGGCGCAGTGTCCCAACGCCCTTTAATGGATGTGACTGCTGGCTGCTTCGGGAAAGGCTCTGCTCTTCTCTGCCCCACCACTGTTGGGTCGGATGAAGCAATCGCAACCCAGGGGCCGGGCGTCCCTTGGTGAACATGGCTCTATCCCCACCAGAGCTGTGCAACCCCAGTAGGACCTCAGAGACTCCCGTCCCCCTCGTGCTACGTGTGGCTGCTGTACACACCAGCACAGTATCTGGCACAGGCACCCGCAGAGGGGTCCTGCCACCCAAAAAGTGTTAGAGCCACGACTGCTACACGTTGAAGCAGCTGCTAGTGCAGCTGCAAACGGCGCTGCAATGGGTGCTGTTAGCCTGTGGTCGTGGTTAAATCAGACAGAGGCCATACTAAACATGCAACCAAAAACCAGGGAATGTTGCCTACATTCATGCTTCCCCCTTGGCACCTTGCTGAGAACAGATTCCCAGCTTACCATGGACATACAACAAAAAACTAATGATTCCTCATTCTCTAATAGACTTCATAAACTAGTACCCATGTGTGCAAGAGATCGCTTGAGAAAGAGGAAGCATGTGTACGTGTGTCTGCTTGCGTGCGCAAGCAGTCTGTCCCCCACCAAAAGGGACAGCAGGGATTTGTCCCCATTCCAGCACTGCTCCAGCCTGAGCTCTTGCAACCGACCATTTTGAGCAGGGGTCTGCCTTCTAGTCCCCAGATCCTTGGGGCACACAGTCATGCTGAACAACACTCAGAGGACTGCTGAGCTCCTGGGTGGCTGGAGATAAATTGCATCACCTATATTACACTTGCAGAACTAACATTTCTTGCTTTATTGGGAACAGCAGTAGTTCTCTGTGCTACCTGAGCAAGAACACTACTAATGAAAATGCAAAACTCTTCCCAATCCAGGGATCCCAAATTAGCCTTTTTTTCTGACACTGTTCCATATTATTTCAGTTGTTTGAGGTACCTTTCCAGCTCTAATCCCATATGCCCCTGCCTGATGACTGGTGGGCAGCTCATCACCTCCAAGGGTGGCAGAGTCCGGTATCACATCCCTCACTGTTTTGTCAAGGCTATAAATGAGCAAAGCACTGTCCTTATTGCAAAGGAAGTTGATCATAAATTACAGGGGTAAATTTCATATATTGCATATCCAGCTAGCTACTGGCGTAAAACATCCTCAGGTGAGGAAATTTAGGTGATACCTGTCACCAATTGATTGGTGTGTCCTAATTTTTTTTAAACGTATTTTTCCTTTTCCAAGTTTAGCATTAGTGCATGAAAGATTTTCTCCGTCTTGCCTTCTAATATCTACCCTCACTGATTTTTTTTTTTTTTTACCACTGTGTGGCACTAAATGCAGCCTTTTTATTACCCACTGAGCCCAAAATTCATGTACCTTTATTGAGACAGAATGTAAAGAATTTGTGTTAAGATTTTAAAATTTTCAGAAACATTCTTAACATGACGGCAATTTTCTCTCTAAACAAACACTGTATGTCCCATGGAGAGCATTGCACTGATGGCAGCAGAAGCAGCAGGAGCCCCGAGCCATGCAGAGGCTCCAACTCTTGGGCTTTCAGTAGGGTTTACCTGCAGCGTCCCAGCTTCACCCTTGTGAAAGTTGTTTCCCCTTGTTTGTAAACTGCAAATCCCTTGTGCAATTTATTGTAGTATCATTCTACCCCCCACTAAGATCGCTTTTAAAACACATCTTTTAAAGAGCATACTAGTGAAAAGCTCCTGTCTTGTCAGCCAAGAGATTCGCCTTATTGCTCCATTTTATCTATCAGATTTTTAAACCACGCTGTTCAGCAGTGAGAGCTGTATATCATCGGCAGCAATACTGTAATTTACCCAATATTTCACTCCTATTTCCTAAACTTCCTGCCCCCGGTGTCCGATACCCACACCATTTTACTCAGTCTCTAACGCCCTTTTGCCCATTTTCCTGATTTTGTGCAGGTTTTATCTGTGCTCACAGGGCATTTGGAGATTTGCTTTACGCTGCTTCTCTGCAGTTCTGCTCACAGCAGCACGAAGCTGCTTTGTAACCGCTCCACCTCCCAAAACGGGTCCCAGCAAATTCTGATGGGTACCTGAGCTGTGCCTCTTGCCACCAGCTCGAGTGTGCGAGGAAACGAGTGGGACAGTATTTTTCTCATTGTTCCTGCAGGCCCCGATCCTGCAAACTCTTACACTTGTGTTTAACTCTCACGAGGCCCCTGGTCCCACCGCTACCTGTGGGGACACCTGGAGAGCCCAAGGACCGTGCCCAGGAGCACCCGGATGCCGTGTGCTGCTTTGCTAACCAGAGGGAGCAGTGCATGCTCAGAGCTGCAGAAAGAGGGGGAAGAAAAGGGGTTTGGGGTTTTTTTTATTTTCCCCTGCAGATCTTTCAAAAGCTGTAACTCAGTGATGAATACTCATTTCAATGTAGTACTGAAAATTCAACTGATGACACCTCAGAGAGAAAATGATCCAGGAATAAAAGAAATTAACATATAGCTCCCACCTTATCATAGAACAAAAGTGACTTTTCAGAATACATTATTTAACCTAAAAGCATTTCAGCAGAGTCACTTTAATGTCTTTCAATCCACTAATTTTCTTCCCCAGTAGTATTAATTTTCGCTATGAACCCACGGTTTACCCAGAATATCCTGTGTATTTCCTTCCTTGGGTAAACTTTTGTCATTCAAGGTTCAAATTGCAGAGATGCTAGACCTGGTTTTATACCCACCATTTAATCCCAGCTCTTAGGCCTAAGTGTATTGTGTAAAAAGAGATTGTTTACAAAATGGTGTAAGGCAGATGTAGGAGAAAGGAAAAGACAACAGAAAGAGCAGCTCAGCAAATATGAGCTAACAGTTGTGGGCAGGATGTTTGACTTATGTTAACAGAAAATAAGATACGGGAAAAGCTATTACTAACAAGTGACACTATGGGAAATCATCATCTGTGATGAGTTTCAAATTAGGCAAGGCTTAAAGGCAGAGGTCAGAAAGTCAGCTAAGCAGCAAACCAGCCAATAGGTATTTTCGTTATCTTATACAGAAAAACTATAAATTTATATTAACAGTAGACACCTTCTATAGATGAAGATACTCCAGTATCTATAGTTGCCATTTTGAAATTTGGTGGGGTACTGCCAAGGCTCTTCAGTTTTTAAAATGACGTATTGAAATCTTATCTCTGAGTGTATATACAGGAGAAAATAGGCATAATGTTACCTAACCCTGAAGTCAGTTGTGGGCCACTTATGTTGTGGTTTTACCTGGGAAGGTTCCGCATTATTTTACCTTCAAGTTCACTGGGGCTCATGAAAAAAAATAATTCACCCAGTCAAGCATAGTGTTTATCTTCCCAGTAAACCCAGTTTGGGGCTGGAAACTGGACGTTTCTCTCCTCAGGCCCTCCGAGCATCCTGGA